ACCCTCTCCCTCTCGGATAGGGATAGCGTACAGTTGATTATAGATCCTTAGGTTCCCTGTGATATTAGGGTAAAATGTTATCAGTGAGTCTGTGTGATGATATAGAACGTTTTCGGCGAATTTGAGTGCTTATGTAGAATGTGTCAAGTGAGCGTGTCAGTGTAGAACATTTTCAATGAGTCTGTGTGCCAGGGTAAAATATTTTCTGTGTACCTGGGCACCTTGGGTAAAATATTCTCGATGAGCTTTGATGGTATGTAGAATATTCTCGGTGGTTCTGGATTAGTCTACAATTTTGAGTTGTGATCCTTAGTGCTCATGTCGAATGTTTTCGGTAATGCAGAACTTTCTCACCAAATTCTCACCCAATTCTCCAATCGTGTACATGTTAGAGCAAAGTGACTCAAGAAGCCAAACGAATTCTGAAGATGGAACCAAGAGAAAGAACGGAAAGGGAGATTTATCACGTAAGTAATGGAAACACTCAATATATTCTGCCATTTTCTACAGGCATGCATATACTAGCATGTTGTGCTATATACGTTGATTTGTAAATTGTAATCACATAAAAACACACATATCTTATATTACCACATAGTGAGAAGAAGGCCTTGAAATGTCACAACACCTTCATCAAATGCTATTTCCGATTTTGTGGGTTCTATGGCATTATTTTATATGTTCATGTTCATTATTTATAAGGATACCATATAGTTGCTTTTCACTCTACTAAGCAGGGGGAATTAAAGAACCGGTTCAGTGGCGTGATACACTAATCGGACGCCATGATAAGTGGGATGACTGGTAATTCGCAAATTAACATACCCTGAATCAAGGGTTGAATAATCCAAGTTGAATAATATTGTAATTATTATTTCCGTGAATTGTCGTCCAAAGAATTAGACGATGTTTCGAGTTACATCATAAAAATGAACCGCAGAATTCTTGATTGATTGTGACAGGTACAGGTTGCTTTAAGGAATGTCGAATCCATAGCCTGCTATCCAGTCACTATGCATCGCAAACTATCTAAAGTTGGATGGTATCAATGTTTTGAAGCGAAGAGACTGATTCTAAGACAGGGATATGAGCCCATCAATTATTACTTTATCCTCTCAGGATCAGGTAAGCGTTGCTCCCTACACACTTCCGCAATGTTTACTACTTATCCTGGCAAATGTAAACCGAATGTGTAATCGATAAGGTTACTACGGACTAAGGCAATAGCTCTGTCCATATTCGCTATGGTTCATCTCATATCATGATAAAGGTGGGCGTGACGGTGTTTCATCCCGTCTAATGACTAAGCTTATGTTTACTTACTGTCAATTTGCTAGACCGAATGTGTTTTTTCTTCTTTATGTTTCTATGTTTGATGCGTTTTAGTTTTCTTTATAAACGTTAAGTAACGCATTGCTTATTAGGTTGGTGTCGGGTAAAACATCAGACCACAGTTTTCTTAACGTACGCCCTCTCACTTAAGGTCTTCCATTTTGAAGCGGGGCGTGCTCCTCTTTTATTGGCAGTTCGTCTGATTAATTGCAAGTCAAACAGTACTTACTTCTTCATATTACGTGCTATCAATGCTTATATCATACGTGGTATTAAGTGGAATACGCTCCTGAAAAAGTGCATTGACATGACATGGCGCAAGTAAATTCAAATAACCATAGTAAATTTCATAGTCTTACAATTGACTCCCAATTTTATCTTTGTATCTTTAAAGCCGTATTGTCTGAATTCGACGTAGAAGAAGACAAGTCACGTGTTGTTAGTATTCTCAATAAAGGTGAAAGTTTCGGAGTAAGTATCTGTGCTTGAGACTGATATTTAGGAACATAAAGTCTATAAAGCCAGCATTACAAGTTCAAATCATACGACACTGCATTCTTTTATTTGCCTCATATAACGGTCCACTATTTTATTACACGATATATTTTATTTACCTGACATAACTAAGATCCACTATTTTATTTACCTGATATAACTAAGATCCACTATTTTATTTACCTGATATAACTAAGATGCACTATTTTATTAACCT